TATTATTATTAATATATTTTCTTTCTTTTTTTTTTTCAGGTATAATAATAATTAATCGTTTCTCCTTCCCGAATTATTTTCACTGAACGATAACTATATTCAATTTTTATGTATGTACAAGGGATATCGGAATAAGGTTACTGATTTCCGTCCAACCTTGCCAAAAAAAAAAAAAATATTTAAAAAAAAACCGTTTACACAAATATTTTCTTAAAACAAAAAATCTACAAACAAACAATAAATACTCATTCCATCCATGTTTTTTTTTTTTTTTTTTTTTTTTTTTGAAAAACTCCAGTGAATTACATAAATCATGTAAACCAAAGTTTTCGATATATTAAATAATAATAATAATAATAATAATAATATATATGACATGAAAAAAAAAAAAAAAAACATTTTAATGAATTTTCATTTTACCCATTAAAATATGGTTGTGTATTATTAAATTTATTTCTTGCCAAGTCTCCTTTGTTTTATTATTATTATTATTAGTAATAAATTTTAAAAAAGCTTTATTGTTATTGTTTAATTTTTTTGTTTTTTTTTTATAATTATTATTATTATTTAATTTGAATAAAAAAATTTTTTTTGAAATTATTGTATACCTGATTTATTTATTCTGAATCATTTCATTTAATTGTTTAATCAAAAATTTTAATCGAGTTTTATTGGAGAAGTAGTATTGTCGGTCGTGAGGCACGGGGACTACTGGTAGAGAAGGTGTCACTTTTCCCAAATATCATACAGCATTTTCATTTCATTATTATTATTTTCTTTTGGTATGTTTACCTTTTATATACATTTTCCATTTGATGATTTCATAACAGTAGGAATTAACCAGTTTGTAAATTTAATATTATGTCTATGGAGATATAGGTTCACCTGTAATCGCTCTTTGTCGAATTTGATGTAACTTTTTTATCCAACGATCCAGTTTTGCTTTTGGATCGAGAAAAAACTAAAATGTCAAAAACAAAAGTTTTTTTTTTTTTTTTTTTAAATGATACAATTTTTAATGTGTGATAAAGAAATGAAAAAATAAAAGAACAACTTACATTCGAGTGAAAAATACTTTTTTCATCCACAGCCAGAGTATTTGATTCATCCACATTGGTTTTGACATTTGAATCAACAGATGATTGCTCATCTGTTGTTTGTTTAGAAGAGGTAAATGACTTTTGAACAAACACATCAGCATTTATATCTTTGATAACATCACTTGTAGGCTTGGTTTGAGACAAGTTGCCGATATCATTTCTAGATTTAACTCCTTTTGGCAAAACTCCCTGTTGTTTAAGTTGATGGTCAGCAGATTCGGCAGCTTTGATAGCTTTTAATAATTTCTCTCTTAATTGTTCTTCAGGATTATTTGTCATATTCTGTGGTAAATTTTTCTTAGAGCTTGTATTAGATGATTTTGATGCATTTGATGTTGAAGAATTTTTAGAATCGCTTGAATTAGATCTTGAGTGATATTTTGAATTACAACTTTTCGAATATGATTTAGATTTATAATGTTGCTTATGACGGTGTTTATCTCTCGAATGAGATCTTCTTGTACGTAAATCTTTGGAAGTTGATCTTGAATGTCTAGAACTGGTTTTACTTCGAGATCTTGAACGCTTGTAATTTCGACTGTAATTTTTTGATTTTTTATACCTAGAAGATCTACGATGCTTTGATCTTCTACGACGACTCGAATCAGAACTAGATGAACTATAAGATCTTTGCAAAAAAAATTAATACGCAATTTGTTTCAATTGAAACAATAATAATCCGTTTGTTATATTTGTAAAAAGTAATAGTACCGAACCGTGACAGGTTAGTTTTAAACACGCAACGAAAAAGTAAATTTACCTTCTTTTATGGCGGCTTTTTCTGTGATAATTTGAAGAATCTGAGTCACTTGAATAACGGCTCATTTTACATAATTATTTAAAATATATTGTACATTTAAAAATAAATCATTTGATTTGTACTTTAAACACAATATTAAAATTAAAAGCTTACAATTTTTTTTTTGGGGCCTTATTTGACAGTTAAATTTTATAGGTAAATGCAAGAAAAGCATCATCAAATCTCAAATTGATTAATATTGAATAAAAGGTTTCAATAATGAAATTTATTAAATTTTTGTTGCGCATTTCATTATATTTTTTTAAAAATATTAATTATAGAGAGTCAGGAAAATTAAAAAAAAAATTATTTTATAAATATTATTATACTTTAAACATTATTATTTAAATAAAAAAAAAAAAAAATTAAAAATTGAAAATAATATTTCACCTAATTATAAAAAATTTGTTGCTCACGATAAGCAAAGAATTGTTTGATATTTGACGATTTGAACAACTGCTTTTCGAGTTTTTTCTTATTAATAAATAACAATTTAAAAAAAATGTTTTTTGAGACCAACCACTTGAATTTTTATATATTAATGATGACATGCTTGATGAAATATTCATATCAAAAATTTTTTTTTTTAATATTAAAAGAGCAGCTCGATTTTATTACAAATGTTAATTATCGTTATGACACTGCATAAAATGTTAAACGATAGTAAATTTACAATAAACAAAATATGGTTATAATAAATTTAGCATGAGATGTAAGTAGATATTCAAATACTAATTGATTGCACTAATAATATTCGAATAACCTCCTCTTAAAGCTAAAACTAAATGCAAAACGGAACCTCCTTGGACTTTATAGTCTTGAGCAGTCTTTTCATCGTTCATTTGCTTTCCGGAAAAAATTAATCTTTGCTGCTGAGGTGGTATACCTTCTTTTTCCTCCACTCTCTCTTTAATTCTTTCAACTTTATCAGTAGGTTCAATGTCTATTTCAATCTAAAAATAATTAATTATAACTCTCAATAGTTAGTTATCGTGGACAAAAACTTTTATAAAATGTTTTAAGTAGCACATTTTTGTAAAGAAAAAATAAACGCGCTATTAAACTTAAAATAAACTACATAAAATAAAAATTAATGTAAAGAAAACATTTAAAAATACAAATAGATACGTATAATTTAATAAAACTCACCTCTTTACCGGTCAACGTCTGCAAAAAAAGAAAAAAAAAAAAATTAATTTTAAATGCTTGCAAAAAATTTGAACAAAATTAATAAATGTTTCACACACAAATAAAATAAATATATATATATATACGTAAACAACATGTAAAGACAAAAAATAAAAAAAACTTACTTTTACTTTAATCAACATTTTTAAAAAAAATTAACGATTATTATAATATAAGACCGAAACGAATTAATTAAAAGAATTATAATATCAGGTAAACAAATGTGAAATATTGCACGATTTATCATAGAGTAAATAAAATTTATAAGAGGCCCTAAAATTTAAAACCACAGCCTTGTTAAATTTGAAAAAAAAATGTTATTAATATATCCCGCTAAAAAAAACAATTTTAAATTTATACTAATTAATAAAAAATTAATAACAAAAAAAGAAAATCTTTATGTAAATAATTTTTTTAAAAATCTTTTTTAACGTTTAAAAATTAATAACTTAAACGTTATAAATAAAATACCAATTGTAAGGATATATATATATATATATATATATATATATATATATATATATATAAAATATATATTTTTTTAAAAATAATTAAAACATTTATTATTTCTAAAACAAAAATAATGAAAAGATTTTTTTTTTTTTTTATTAAAAATTATTTTTTTATAATCACTTTGAGGTAAAAAGTCAAAATATATATTTATATAATAATAATAATAATAATTCAAAAAATAAACAAAAACAAAACAAAAAGAAAAAAAAAAACAAACAAAGTAATTTAAAAAATTTTTATTATAATTATTATTATTTTACTAAATAAAAATTACATAATTACACTTATACATAATATTAATTAATAATACGGATGTTAATAAATTTATTTAATTAATTAATTAATTTATTTATTTAATAAAAAAAAAAAGCTAGCTTTTCATTTGAAGAATTTTGTATATTAAAAACCCGAAAGGAAACAAAGGGGGGCAAAAAAAAAAAAATTTCAATTATGAGCAAAGATTTATTATTATTATATTTGTCTTTAATGATAATGATAATAATAAAAATAATAATAATAATAAATAAACGGAATGCGTATTGATGAATATATTTTTGCTAGCTTTTTTTCCAACTCCCCTCCCCCTCCCTTCTTACATTTATATATGTTGCATTCATTCATTCATTCATTCATTTTCTTATTTGTCAATTTCAATTTCAAAACAACAAAATATACAACTAATAATAATAATAATAATAATAATAATAATAATAATTTGAATTAAATTCATCGAATAGGAGAACCAATTAAATTAAATTATCATTATTAATAATAATAATAATAATAGAAAAATTATCGATAGAACAATTAGATAATGTTTATTAAAAAAAGAAAAATTACTATTATTATTATTATTATTATTGTAAATAAAACAAAAACGTATCATCATCATCATCATCATCATCATCATCAAACGGATCATCAATTTTTTTTTTTATTCGTATACAAAAATAATAATAATAATAATGATGTTAAAGTAATAAAAAATAAAAATAAAAACAAAAATTTATAAATGCTAAAAAAAACATATAATAATAATAATAATAATAATAATGATAAATCGATAATATAAAATAAAATAAATTTTTTTCTTCTCTCTCTCTTTCTCTTTCTTCTTTCGGCGCAAAATCGCACAACAAGATTCCTCTCTTCCTCTCTCTCTCTCTCTCTCACATTATTTTCTCTTTTTTCATTTTCATCATGATGCCTTTATTATATAAAAAACAATAATAATAAAAATATAACGGTGAAAAAAAAAAAAAAGGAAAAGTTTTTCCGCTTTTCATCATTTTCCTACACATATATATTTTCACACGTATATAATAAATATTATTATTATTAATAATAATAATAAACAACATGTTTTTTATTTTTTCCCCCCCAAAAAAAAAAACATTTTCAACCATTCACACATTTTTCACATATTGAGATATTTGACATCGTGACAGTAATAATAATAATAATAATAATAATAATAATAATAAACTTAAACCGTTGCCGTCGGTTAGATAAAAGACTCGGAAAGAAAGAAAAAAAAAATATATATATATATTATTCAATATCAAAAAATTTTCCATGTCTAATAAAAAAAACATTTTTTTTTATTTATTTATAGTATATATAGTATATAGTATAAATATATATATATAAATATATCTACATAATTATATTATTAAACGGATATATCGACGACGTGCGTTATTCATTTTTTCTTTTGTTTTGCATGTCAAAGTTTTTGCGCATTAATAAAAATCAAATCAACGGAAGGAAGGAAGGAAGGAAGGAGGGGAGGGGAGGGGGGAGACGTGGGGATCGTTACGCCGCGAACTTTGATCGAAATTTATTCCCATTTTTTTTTTTTTTTTTCGTACGCGTGGCAAGAGTAATAAAAAAAACAATTAATTAAATAAGATTCGATAATTTTTTTTTTTCGCAATTAAAAAAAAACAGAAAATTTGAAATCTTATGCGTGCGTGCGTGCGTTCGTGCGTGCACAAAGATAATTTCGAAAAAATTTCCCCCCCCCGCTTTCCCCCTTTCCCCCCTCCCTCCCTCTCTTCCCCCGTTTGATAAACGTTTAATAAACGCGTGAAAAATTAATTACGCGAACGCGAATGATGATGATAATAATAATAATAGTAAGTGATTTTTTGTTTAAACGTCATCATCATCATCATCATCATCATCTTTTACATCGTAATTTTGCCTCAAAAAAAAAAAAAATTTCCGTCTCGTATACGCGAACCTGATTTTTTTAAATTTTTGGGAGTAGCAACAGCAGCAACAGCATCCTCCATTCTTTTACATTAATCAGATTATAATCCCGATAATTGGATTTCGATTAAAAATCGAAAAAAAAAGAGATGGAAACGGGATGAAGGGAACGAGAACAGGAATGCGATGATGATGATGATGACAACGATGACGACGACGACAGCGTAACAATCATTCTCAAAAACGATGGGTAGGCGAGGGGGGAGGGGGGAAACGTAAATAATAATAATAATAATAAATGGAAGATAAAACACACGCACACGCACACCCACACACTTTGACGTTTTGCTTTCGGATTTAATTTCCTTTGTCGGGCGTTTACGAAGGTTAAGTGCAAACTAAAAACTTACTTTAAAAAAATTTTTTTTTTTACACGTATCAAAACAAATATTCGCCATACTTACCTAAGGAGACAAGAAGGAGAAAAAGTAGTGGGGGGCAAGGGGGAATTGGGGGGGAAGGGGGAAAAAAAAAAGGGAAAATCAAAATAGAAATAGAAAAAAAAAAAAAAAAAAAAAATTAATCTCAACGTGATGTGTATCATCGCGGAGACGGTCCGACGAGGATGACTTTTTAAATCGCCTAAATTTGACTTAAATTTGTCTCGTCGACGACGTCATCGTCGTCGAGTGCGCTCGTATCGATCGATATTTCCGATATTTTACTTCCGGCAAATTCGGTAAACACGGCCGGAGGATTTTTATTATTCAAACTCCTCTTTTTGATTCCGTTCGAATTGTCTTTTTCCAACATGTACGTTTTGAAATTTTTACAATCCCGAGCAATGTGCTGTCCGAGAGATTCGAAATCGTCTATCGGAGGAGTGACGACTCTCATTGTTTTCCTAACGACTTCCGTGTCCACTTCGTAGTATCCTTTGGTCATTTTTTTAATGAGATCGACCATGGACAATGGGGGGTATACTCTTTGACGATCTAGAGGCATTATGAAACATCTGTGACCGTTCAAATCCACGATTCCAGTCTTGTTCTGCGGCATTGTTGGAAAAAAAAAAAAAAAAAAAAAATCAATATTAAATTATTGAAATGGGGAGGAAGTACTAGCGGGGGGCGGGGGGTGGAGTACTACACCAGTTTCGCACACGCAGATTTGACTCTTTGTTGACGCATACATCAAGTGATTTCCTTTCGTTTAAATAATCTTAATTTTTAGCGATAAAAAAAGAAGCGAGCAAACAGATAAAAAAAATTATCATAGTCTCGCAATATCAAACTAATACGAATACTAAAACTTTTCATCACTTTTAGTTTTAAATAATTTTCGTGATGAGTGATTGAATTAATCGGAAGGGGAGCCAACATGAGATCACACGCACACGCACACGCACACGCACACGCAAGCACAAAAAAAAAGGGCGAAGAAGAAACCGAAGCGACATCGAATTAAATTCGATAATGATAATAATCCGAGTGACTTGGTTGGTTGTCATTTCCGTTTTTTTTTTTTTTTTTTTTTTCTCGTTCGTCTGCGTCTTTTCCGTGGCGTCAGAATTTCCGTTTAAAAACGTATTCATCACAAACTCATAATAAATAAAGATTTAAGGCACACACGACAATTTCCGAACGGTTTCCCCCGCCTCCCCTTTTTTTTAAACACTTTAAAAAAAATTTTTTTTTTATGCGTAACGGGTAAAGATACTTTCATACGGGCGATAATTCACCGCAATTAAATTCAGAAATGATAATTTATTACCAAAAAAAAAAAAAAAAGGCGAAAATAAAAAGTTGTTTAGGAAAATTTAAAAACCTTTTTAGCACGACCCGTTCGCATAACAAAAATTTTGAAAATTATTCAAGGATGCTAAAAAAAAAAACAAAAACAAAAACAAAAACAATAGATCACGTTACGAGAGGACACGAAGCGTTTAAAAAAAAAAAACCGTAAATATTTAAAAAAATGGAAAATATTCCACGAGAGAGAGAGAGAGAGAGAAAGAGAGCCTTTAGGAGAGAGAAAAAAAACAACGTGAATTTCCACGTATTAAAGGAAGTAAAATAAATAAAAAAGAAACAAAAGGCTTCGTTATCGTGAGCCTTAATAACAACCGCCTGATAAAAAAAACATTCGAAATGTCAACAACTGATAAAAATTAAAACAACTGACTCGTCGCTGAACCGAAAACAATACGACGACGACGACGACGAGGACGAGGACGTCTCAATTAAAAACAACATGAGACGGACGACGATCAATGGTCGTTTGTCGTTTGTCTCGTGTGACGTGCGTTTGTATTTATTATCAATAAAACCCTCAAACCGTGAATTTATCAATGAATTTTTTTCAATAAAATGAAAACATCATATCATTTCAAAAGTGACCGTTACGACGACTACGACAAACGGCGATCGTATCGTTGAAAACAAACAAACAAACAAAAAACATAAACACCGACCAACCAAAAAATTTTCGTTCGAGTCCGAACAACCTTTTTTTTTTTTTTTTTTTTAACTTTAATCAGAAGCAACGAACCGGAAAAGGCAGGCCTTTTTTTTTTTTTTAAAAAAAAAAAATTAAACATTCCGGAAGTCTGAACAAATCAGACTAAAATACGATGTGTAATATTTTTGGATTAACGAAAAAAAAAAAAAAAAAGTAAAAAAAAACCGGGGGGGGGGGAGAGAGAGAGAGAGAGAAAGAGAGATTTGATATTTTCCGACGTTATTAAAAAAAAATACTTTTTTACTTTTTTTTTTTTTTTTTAAAAACGAAAGTGAAAACTTTAAAATTAAATTTTAAAGTTTATTTTCTTTTATTTTCTTTTTCCTTTAAGGTAACTTTTCAGGTATTCAATCAAGTGCGTGCTTTGACACCGTCAAACTTTTAAAAAAAACTCATTAAAATTAAATACGTGTGGCACCTAATAAATATTAAAAACCTTAAAAAAAAATCTTCTTCCCCTTTTGAGTTTTTTTTTTCAACGTATATAATAAATCTTATAATTTTCTATTAAAGTTTTATATAAGTTTCCAGAACATTCTTTAGAAAATAAATAAATAAATAAATCCCAAATCGAACAAGATTAAAACTCATGAAACTTAATCGACATCTTAATCGGGGGGCCGTATGAAATCCTTTACAAAAAAAATTGATAATAATAAGAACGGAAATGAAAATGTGAAAATTAAATCATTTATTTACTTGTTTGAACGCTCGGATTCCTTTTCTATCTTTTGCCCCCCATTATTTTCCGCTACCCTCATCGCCGCCCCCCAGCACCACCACCACCACCGCCACAACCACCTGAAAATGTGCAACGAATTATAACGAAATCAACAAAGGAACAACTAATTAACTTTTTATTCATTGTTTACATAACGTAGAAACGACGACGTTTTAATTTTTCCCTTTGGATCCCTCTCGCATCATCCATTCCCCTCCCCCTTAAAAGATTTAAAAGGTTTTATTTAATTATTTTCCAACTTAGGAATTGTCGTGTTTTTCCCGCTAATGTCACTTCTCTCGCGCTAATCGGATTTTCGTTTCGAAGGAAATTTTCGACGTCATCGATTACGAATTTTCCTACACGCCGACAACAATAACAAAACAAAAATAATTTAAACATTAAAACGTTTGAAATAGAAGCGATACTGCCATTTTTCTTTTTCGGCACATGTCAAAGTTTCTCAAATGAACAAACCAACAAACAAACAAGCAAATTTGCTTACAAAGATCGAAAGAAACCAACCACAAGGACAAAACGTTTTAAAAAACAATAACAAAGAATCGTATGGCACAACGATTTTCACGGATTTCCGCAACAAATTTTTTTAAAAAAAAACAAAAAAAAAACTCGACACCGTTAAATTCGATATAAATTGAATTCGATGAATCGAAACCAATCGAAACAAATCGAAAAAAAAAATTTTGCATTAATCTAATCTCAAAAAAAAAAAAAAAAGAAAAGTAAATTACCAAACGATAATAATGCTATTGTTAAATGAATAAACGTGAAATAAGCGTAATGAGCCTTTACTTAAACGGTATCACGTTTGTTTTATTTTGATTGATAAGGACTCAAAGGTTAAAGTTAAGAATTAGTTAGAATTTGCCGAGAAATATAATGAAAAAAGAAAAACAAAAAGAAGAAAATTCATTCCTTTCTCGGCGAAAGTTAAACAAAAAAAAAAAGGGGGGGGGATTAAAAAATTTAACGTGACTATAATTAAAAGATTTAAAAACAAACCTTTTTTCCCCCCCCCTCCTCCCCGAGATGAAAATAAACGTTTTAATGACTTGCAATTTATTACCATTACCGAGCAAAAGGGTGAAATGAACCTTTCGAATTAAATTTTTAACCCCCGCTAATGATAAACTCAAACATCAAAAGTTTTTTTTTCGTTTTTGTTTTGTTTTTACTTTTCCTATCCAGCGATATTGAAACTATCTCTCTCTCTCTCTCTCTCTCTCTCTCTGTCTTCAATCATGGTGACAAAATCCATCATTTTGAGAGAAGAGTAATATGGGAAAGGAAATTTTTAACCGCATCCGTCCTTTTGGTGGTTTCAATACATGATTATCGCGTTTGAATTTCGATGAAATCACATACACAAAAAAGAAGCAAAACTGTACACATTCACATTCTCCCCCTCTCTCTCTCTCTCTCTCTCTCTCTCGGAAAGCACTCCCGTAAAAAAAAAAGAAAAAAAAGGAAGCAGAAAAGAAACGCGATATCGGATTATTATTTGGAAATGTTTACCGTTTTAAAATCGTGAATGAATTTTCCCTTTCTTCCCCTGTTGAAATCCGGAACTGAAATTTTTTCCATTCCATTATTTTGCAAATCTATATCGAATTCTTGTTTGAATGAATTGAGAACGTTGAACGCTTCCGCATCCGCTTGAAATTCGTATTCTTTCACGAGTGTTTCCAAATCCGTTTGAGATCCGAGTGCTTCTTGCCTCGGAGGTTTCGGACGAATGTTGTAGGGCACGGTGCACCATCCGTGAAATCTCATTTGAGATCTCGCAAATTGCCTGTAGAGGTAAATCCCACCGATTATTCCGATGCTCATGACCAAGAGTGCCGTGAGAAACAAACAAACCGTGCTCGCCGTGGACACTCTTTGAGCTCTGGCACCCAAAACGACGAATCCCGGTTCCATTCCCGATTCCATATCCAATTTGACTCCCTATTCGAAAAACAACATTAAAAAAAAATTAAATAAATAATTAATAAAAAAAAAAAAAAAAAATCTTATTAATTCGATCGCGCTTCGATTCGTACAATTTTTTTTTTTTAAATGGCTTTTAATTATTTTTCAGACTGTTATTAATTAAATTTTAAAGGGGGAGGCGGGGGTAAAGCAACGATAAGACATTGAAAAAGAGTAAACTAATTGAGTAAATAAGAAAATGAGAGATATAAATTATTTTTTTAAAAAAAAAAGGAAAACGTTCGTCATCCTATTAGAGATTTCAACTCAATGAGATTAAATAAAAACTTTCGAAATTAAATTTTACTATTTCCCTTAGTCTCTTTCTCTCTTTCTCTCTCTCTCTCTCTCTCTCTCTGAAAAACAAATAAATAAATAAAAAAAAATTTGTTAATATAAACGCTAAGAATAAAATTTTATACAATCGTCTAACGGGAAAAAAAAATTTAATGGTCGAATCTTCATTTATTTATAAAAAAAAAAAAAAAAAAAAGCGAGTGTACGATGAAAAGAAAAAACATTTTTTTTTTTTCCTTCCCTTATTTTTTTTCAAGGGTTAATTTAAAGGATTAAAATTCTCGCCGCTCGGGGGAAACAGAAACACACGAAAAAAAAAAAAAAAAAAAAATAAGCTCAAATAACCAAAAACAAAAAAAAAAAAAGATGTTTTCGTATAGCAAAAAAAAAAAAAAATTATTATTTTTTTAGTTATTTCGTTTCGCATTTAAAAAGAGAGAGAGAGAGAGAGAGAGAGAGAGAAAGAGAGACGGTGGCGGGGGCGGGAGGAAATAATAATCATAGTAATGCATGTATTAAGCAGTGGAATTAGATTATTTGAAAAGATTATTATTTGAGTTTATTATTATTATTATTATTATTACGACTCTACAAAATGAGAGCATCGACTGTTAAAAAAAAAAAATTTATTAACTTAAATAATGTTTACCCCTCTGTGTGAGAGGGGTACGAAGAGGGAGAAATAATAGGGGCGGGCGGGGGGAGAGAGAGAGAGAGAGATAGGGAAAATAAACAAATGCAATTACCGCACAACAAACGATAATAACCGGGGATAATTACCCCCCTAAAACAAATTTCTAAAATTTGACACACGTTATTTAAACACGTGTTTATTTATTTAAGGGTGTGCGCGTGCGTGTGCGTGCGTGCGCGTGCACTGGAGAATAATTTTCCATTTGATTAAAAAAAAATATCCTTCGAATAAAATAAAATATATCGAATAATTTTTTGAAAAGGAATCATCGTCTCATCGTGAACATCTAGCCATAAAATACAAAAAGAAAAAAAAAGGAAAATTTTTTTTTTTTTTCTTTTTATCCCATTTTGTGCGTACTTTAATAATTCAAGGTCAATTCAATTGAATGATAAGAACACGCGCGTTTCGTTTTTAATACGTAAATGACAAATAATTAATTAATTAATTAATAATTTATTTAAATTTTTGGCAAATGAAAGAAATAATTTATAACGTAAATATCATCATTCAATTTTTTTTTTTTTTTTTTTCGGTACGACAAAACTTATTCGCCAAACGATAATTAAAAAATTTTCTTACGCAATCATTTTTCCTCTCTGCAGGAAGAAAGAAAAAAAGAAAGAAATTTAGGAGAGAGAGATAGAGAGGGGGGGGGGGAGAAAAGAAGAAAATTACTCGACTCACTACATCATTCAAAACCATAGAGCACTTAAAAAATTAATTATCGACTTTAAAAAAAAAAAAAATTTATTTGTAGCTAATATTTATATGAAAACAGAAAGTATTTTCTTCAGCTGCTGGGAAAAAAAAATAACTATAAAAAATATTAAGACAAAAAAACAAAACAAGAAATAATATTCTTTTCTTTATGTTGAAAAAAAAAAAAACAATAAAATAACAGAACCACAATAATTTTTTTTTTGAAAACTTTGTGGCTTTGAATTTTTATTTTTACATTTCGTTATTTCCCATCTTGTTTGACAAAAAAAAATTATTTTTTTAATGTATTTAAATGAATATTAAAAACACACACACACACACACACAACAAACATAAGGAAACATGACAAATGATAATTTATGATAATCTAACTAAAACAATATTAAAAAAAAAAAAAAAAATGGAATGTTTAATGAAAATAAAATAATAATCTGCATTTAAAACAAAAAATCAACAATAATGTTACATATTATAAGAAAATTAATGTTAGTTAGGTGTTTAAACCTTGACATCAATAGATATATACGTTATTTGACAAAAACAGGCCAAAAAAAAAAGAAATAAATAAGTAAATAAAAGAAAGCCTAAATTTTTACCAGACATTTTTCTGATTATTTGGTTCCTTCTGTAACATTCAGTATCAAAATTTCATTGAAATCTTAAATAGTGCGCGAGAAAAAAACATTTTAAACATGGGGAGCCAAAGCGACCATTTCCTCCACATTTTTCTTTTTTATTTTTGAAAGGGTGTTAATGCTTCACAAGTTCATAAAAAGTTGTGGGCTGTGTATGTACGGTGATAAAGCCTTAATAGAACGGCAGTGTCAAAACTGGTTTGAGAAATACAGTTCTGGAGATTTTCCTTTGAAAAATGAGAACCGCTCCAGGCATCCCGTGGAGGTCAATGTATAAATAAAGGTTCTCATTGATTATGATTGGCATAGTTTGACAAGGGACATTGCAGAGAAGGTAGATGTGTCACATAAAACCGTCTGCTATCAGTTTGGCACTATCTGTCACTCAGTTTATCTCTTACACTTTTTGGTACTGTTATCAGTTTGGTGGGATTACAAAGTCATAGTTTACTCTAAGCTGCTCCCATGAAGTCAAAAACCATATATTATATTCGACAATTGACTAATTTAAATAATGTCATCCAAGAAAAACGAAAAGAATTGTCTTTCACCATGATAATGCCAGGCACCACACATCTTTAGCCACTTGACAAAAACTACTGGAGCTAGGCTGGGATGTTTTGCCATGAAAGTTTTTTTTAAACGAACAAAAATTCAAAAACGACAATGAGGTTGTCAAAACTGCATTGAAACAGTTTTTCGCTCTTAAAAATAAAGTTTTATGAAGCATGGGGTAATGATACTACCCAAAAAAAATGGCAAAAGGTTATTGATAATAATGAACACAATATATTGGGTTGGCAAAAAGGTAATTACGAATTTTTTAAGAAAACAAAAAGCGATTTATTAATTATGCAAAATTATTTTTATCTATTATATTATGTCCATTATTATTAGTGACCTTTTGACATTTTTCGAGTAGTATCATTTTCCTTTTTTCATAAAACTCTTTAGTTTTAGGAGCAAAAAACTGGTCCAACGCAGTACGATTGACCTCCAGTAGTTTTTGTCCAGTGGCTAAAGATGGGGAGGGCCTGGCATTATGGTAATGAAAGACAGTTCCTTTGCTATTGGCTAGCTCCGGTCGTTTTTCTTGGATGGTATCATTTAAATTTGTCAATTGTCGAATTTAAACCTCTGAATTTATGATCTGATTTCGTGGCAGCAGCTCAAAGTAGACTATGCCTTTGTAATCCCACCAAAATGATAACAATACCTTTTTTTGGTGAATGTCAGTCTTAGAAGTTGTTGGCGCCTGTTTCCTTGCCTAGACCAGGATCTTTTTCTCAAAAAGTCATCATAGACAACCCACTTTTCATCTCCGGTGACCATTCTTTCAAAAAAGGGTCATTTGCATTGCGTTTAACAAGCATATCGCAAAGACCAAGTCGCCTCGTTAACTAACGTTCCCCAAAGTAACGCATCAAGCTTTTTTTGGCACCCAAGACGCCGTAGACGGTTTTTGACGCACGTATGTGACACATCTAGCTTCTTTACAATGTCCATAGTCGAATTATGCCGATCATAATCAATGAGAACCTTTATTTATGACTGACATTCACCTCCACGGGATGCCTGGAGCGGTTCTCATTTTTCAAAGGAAAATCTCCAGAACTGTATTTCTCAAAGCAGTTTTGACACTGCCGTTCTATTAAGGCTTTATCACCGTACATACACAGCCCACAACTTTTTATGAACTTGTGAAGCATTAACACCCTTTCAAAAATAAAAAAGGAAAATGTGGAGGAAATGCTCGCTTTGGCTCCCCATGTTTAAGTGCCTTTTTCTCGCGCACTATTTAAGACTTCAATGAAATTTTGATACTGAATGTTACAGAAGGAACCAAATAATAACCTATCAAAAGTTCTTGTTTGTGCAAAAATGTAAACATAGTCAAAAACATGTTCATCTATTGGTAAAATCCGCAGTTACTTATTGGCCAACCCAATAATAAATTGTTTTTTGTTTCCTTAAAAAAAATTTGCAATTACTTTTTTACCAACCCTATATAAAAATTTGATAAAAAACTTATTGTCATTTCAAATTGTAAACCTATATGAAAAAGAATTATATACAATTAAAATCATAAGAGAACTATGAACTGTTTTTTATCCTTCATAAACATATGGAATATTTTTAACAATTTTGATAATTCATTTAATTAATGTCATAAAAGTAATAAAAGAAGAAGAAGAAGAGATTAGAAAAGTTATCAAATTTTTCATGAGTTCATGTAATGTCACTGGTTCAAAATATTGACTCATCTCTTTAATTTGGGGGGTAGTTTGTGCAAATATTTCACAGACACACCCAAGAAATAATTACAATTAATTTGTAAATAACTGTCATTGTTTATTTTTTTTCATGACAGGATATTGCATTAAAAATATATTAGTATTGTAAAAATATTTTTTAAAAAACCCAAGTAACCCAAGTGTATATTTAATTACAAAAAAAAAAAAAAAACAAAAAAAAAATTAAAAAATTGATATGAAACTCAGGGTAAAATCAGAAAGCGTAAAATTTAAATTGTCAAACACTAAAAAAAGAAAAAAAATCATGTAATAAATTAATGTGTGTATACAAAATGGCTATTATTAAATTACAATAAAGTGCTACTACACCTATGATGAGACGTATTTTAAAGGAATGATATAGAAACAAAGAGAAATGACAAAGAATTTTACTTACATCCTCGGGAACGCCATCTCCTATTCCTGATTCCTTTGGTTTTTTAGCTTTATTATCAGACAAAGGCTTTGTAATAACCGTCATCTTTACAAAAGTACTTTGTTACGTCTAAAAATAAATCACCGTGAAAATCAATTTTTTCCTTGAATCGATTGCAGCGCCACTTGTGCCGAAACTAATTTAGGGCCCTGAAACAATTTTAAAATGGCGCGTTTAATTTTTAAAACAACTTTTTATAAAACATGACGGTTTCCATTATCATATGCGATTCATTTTAAAAAGTTTTTTAAAAATAATAATGATTATAATTTATTACGAATGTTTTTCATATTCCATCACAGGTGACCGAAAATATTTCGTTTTAAAAAAATATTCTCTTATTAAATGTCTTTGATTCAATTTGTAAATAAATGTTTACATATATTTTATACACGTAAATAAAAATATTTTTTTATACGTTTTTGTACATATATATTTTTAGATCTTAGTGAACAATGCAAGAAGGGGAAAACTATTTATAAATATTTAACTACAGGATCAGAATCGAGCGATTATTCTGTTGATGTAATTGCTGCCTATCAGAAATTAAACTGCAGTTTAGTTTATTTTGTCAGAAATAATAATCACATTCTTTTACTAATTGAATACGTAGATAGAAGACCTGGCAAACCTGTTTGTAATAATAAAGAAAATGCCGTACTAGTTCATGGGTACAATTTTTTTAATGACGAAAATAATAATAATAATAATAAAAAGCAAATAATTTTAAAAAGTTTGATCGTGCGAAAATATATATATATATATTTTTTTTTTAACTTACAGTAATAAATCAACAGTTAACGCTTGTAAATACGCAGATGATCACAATCAGGATTCCTACATAAAACTGGGTAAAGATAATGTAAAATTGGAAATATCAAGTGTAGCGGATATGAGCACAATTAAAATCACTGCAACTTCAATGAGATGTGAGACATGATAAATTAAATTGATCATCTTTAAGAAATAAACTAGGAACAAATTGGAGAAATTGACAGGGAAAAAAAAAATAATGAGTACTTTTATACATTTTATTATTAAGAAGCTTCGTCAAATAAAAAAAAAAAAAAAAAAAAACTTCGACTCATTAATAATATGTATATATATATATATATATGGAACTCACGACGACGAATAAATAATTTAAAATTCAAAAAAAAAAAAAAAAAACAAAACAAAAACCCATAAGTTATTAATTTAAAAAAAAAAAATATTAGACTTTATCGATTGTCGAATTTCTTGTCATCATTATTATTATTATTATTTTATTTTATTTTTTTTTTTTTTGTTGGTCAGATTCACAAAATGCGAAATGTCAAGCGCTCTACGAAACGGAATGTTATTATAATAATACATTATATTGTATGTCTGTATCAACGGTTTGTGATCAAAATGCTAACTGCGGATTTAGAAATTTACTTGACGAAGATCCGGCAATATGTCTTGGTAAGAGAAATGAAAAATTAATCGACTCCCCAAATAATAATAATAAACCTTTCAAAAAAAAAAAAAAATTAAAAAAATTAAAAAAAACAAACTATGAAAATTAAATTAAATATATATGCCACTTTACATGTTTTAAAGTATTGAAAATTGCGTAATCTTCAAACTCGCAGGAAAGTTTAACAACAAAAAAAATTTTGTCTTGCGAATATGTATATAAATATAAAAAAAAAAGTACATGATGACCGTGTGTTTTTCAGGACCGCAACTAGACGCTTACCAAGTCTTCGTATCAATAGAAATAGGAATATCTATAGTTATTCTTATTATATCACTAACATTTGTAATAATGCCGAAAAGAAAAGAAACGTTTGTTTACGAATTTAACAGTACAATGTTTGTATTTGACAGCGAAACAAAAGAAGTTAACTACGAGATCACTTCAACCGTTCACTATCCCACCGACATTTGGACGTCAAAGCTACGATCAAGGAAAAAAATATCTGAGTAAAAATATTAAATTTTCTTATTATTACGTCATCACCATAATAATTTCCATCCATCGATTATATTATAATTAATCAAAATAGGGTGGATAGAGGGGGGGGTGGGCATTTCACCGCCGAATAAAATTTATAATAATAAAAAAAAAAAAAATAATAATAATAATAATAATAGTTAAAAATTAAATAAATATGTATATATTTTCGCTTTAAAAAAAAAAAAAAAAATAATAATAATAATAATAATAATAAGCCATCAATTGTTTGTTAACTGTCGGCCCTCACACGTGGTACAACAACTTACATCTTCTTCGGCAAACTTCTTTTAACTTTTTTTTTTTTTTTTTTATTGTCTTTATTTTTATTTTTTTATTTTTTTTTATTTTTTTTTTTTTACTCTTACATATATTTCCTTCGTGGTTTGAGAGCTATATTCAAAAAGCAAAAAAAAAAAAAAACAATAAAAAAAAATATATAAAGTCATCATCATTATCATCCTCTTTTTTAGTGGTTTTTTATTTATTTATTTATTATGTATTTTAATCTAAGAAAATTTTCTTTTTTTTTTTTTTTTTTTAGTAACTACCATCACAAAAGAAAGAAAAAACCTCAAAGAGTACAAATAAATAATTAATGTGAGAAAACCATAAACAATAGGGGAGAGAGAGAGAGAGAAAGTATATATAAAGTTGAAAACATTACAAATTTTTTTAAAAATTCTTGGCAAAAAAAAAAAAAAAAAAAAAAAAATGACCGTTGAAAACTAACGGTCTTTAATAATTATTATTATTATTATTTTATAATTAACTGTCACCTCAATGTTAAATTATTAATGGAGCGTAATTAAAAATAAAAATAAAAATGTTTTTTTTTTTCTAAATAAAATGTCGGACGGAATCGTATCTAAAAGTAATTAATCATTTTTTAATTTTTTACACACACACGCACACACGCACGCACGCACGCACGCACGCACGCACACTAAAGACAAAAAAGCGTTATATGACGTTTTTTTTTAAATTTTGAGTCGTGGTTTCGATCGATTTGATTTTTTTTTTTATTATTTAAAATGATTTCGACAAATTTCCCTTTCCTCCCTTCCCTTCCCTTCCCTCCCCCTCCCCTCTCCTCCCAACCCGCTCGCGGTTATTATGTGTGTACAGGTGCGTTCGTGAGTTTTTTTTTTTTTTTTTTTTTTTTTTAAATAATAATAAATTCCCTGTCTTTTATTATTATTATTTTTTCTGTTTCCGGTTTCGCGGTCAATTATCAAGAAGGAATCTTACTTTTATTATTGCTATTGCTATTATTATTATTATTATTAATATTATTATTATTAGATTTTTTTTTTTTGGAGATTTTTTTTTAATCAGTCAACGTGTGTCAAGGGGATTTAATTTTAATTTTCAAAGCTTTACATTCTTATTAACATTTTTCTTTGAGGAATCATCTTCCCTATGGTGTTTAATTATTATTTTCCACCTCAAAGTAGCTCGTTTTCCCTCATCTTTAGTAAGTGACCTAGAAGGAGTCACTTCGGAAGATGATGTTTTCGATTCGCGAGTAACCAAAGAGGTTGTATCGATAACTTCGGGTTCGTTCGATTCGGGCAACAACGATTGACCGTTTTCAAAGGACCTTGTTGATAACGATGAGTAATCATTACCTTTGACTTCGGTTCCGGTTGAGTCTTTTGTCGTCGTCGTCATCATCATACGTCCTCCTTCTTGGAAAGACCGGCTTCTCGAAGGGATCGGAAACATTGGACACGTTATTTCTTGAACGTTGTAACTTTTTGGAGAATTAAAACTTTCGGAAAATAATCTTTTTTTCGTGTTCGCAGGCATTGCCAAATCGTAGACCTTTGATATTTCTTGTACGGATTCATCAATGTTCGATCCTTTTGTCAAATTACTCGATTTCATTTCGAAATTCGTTTTAGATTCTTCGCTACGACTTTCTAAAACGGTTGACGATGATAAAACGTAACTTTTCGTTTTTAATATGTGCTCATCTTCATCTTCATCGAATTCTTCCTTTTCCGTTTTTGTTACGTTTATGACGTCATTTTTAACAAAATTGTTTTTTTTTATTAAATTGTTTTCTTTTTTTATATTTTTATTACTACTACTCGTTAAATCAATATTACTACTACTGCTTTGTTGAATGTTGTTGTTGACGGCGTTATTGTGATTATTATTGCTACTACCTAGAATATTATGATCGGACAGTCGTGCGTACTGTTTTGACCTTTCTAAATATTTCGGAGAACTTTGCAAAAATGAAAACGAATCAGGTATGAAAAAACTTTTCCGGATCGATTTGGTTTCGGATGCTTGTTTTAATTCTTTTATCCTTTCCGTTTCGTGAGGATAATGAATTCTCGTCATTTTCGGTTTGACTCCCAACTTTTCACAGCTAGTGAATTCGTAGCCGACGTCCAACGCTTGAATGTCTTCATACGTCATTTTTGATTCTTCTTTTTGCGATCCCGTGCATTCGGATTGTTGGGATCGCGAACAATTGTCGTATTCGTTGGAAGTGTTTATTGTTGTTTTAAAACGATTCACGGCACCTTCGAATCCATCTTTACAGCTGTTCGCACTGCTAAAATCCGGTATTATGCTCGATTCGTTTGCATTGCCATTATCCGTCGTGTAATTTTCGTTATCGTCTTGATATTCGCTTTCAGGTACGTCCGTCGTATGACCTTTCGAACACGTATCCGTTTCGTAGTAAGGTTCTTCTCCTTCTTCGCCTTCGAACATTTCGTCGCCGTACACGTCTTCGTCGTCGTTGTCATCTTCGTCGTCGTCCTCGTCGTCGTCTTCATCGTCATCGTCGTCATCTAAATTTTTTTTTTTCTCTTCGAGCTCATCGTTTTCGTCTAAATCGACGTTTTGAAACGAATAAGCTACTTTTTGGACTTTGCTTTTTTTAACTTTTTTCCCACCGGTCGCTTTTCCTTTGAAAAACGTTTCGCCGAAGGGTAAACTTTTAAATGCGCTCGTGTAGGGCCTACTCAATTGTGGTAAACATTCCGGATCTTTCGGTATTTGATCTTTCAAATTATCAACAAAAACCGACGAAAAATTATTAAGGTATTGATTGGTTATTTCCCTTTTCGTTATCATGATGTCTCTGCTTCGAAGAGAGCCTTTCGTGGGTATGACAACATAATTTGAATTTTTAACATTGGGTCTAGACACGGGAGACATTGATTCTAAAACATCGCACGGTCTCGGTTTTTCTTTCATTGTTCTTCTAGCCGGACAAACAGCGTTGGCGGCAATCGTTATGCAGGGTGGCACTCTTTGCATGTTGTAAAGTTCTTGCGACATGTGAAAATTAATTATTTCATCTTTTATTATTTCCTGATTGCTGCTCCGCGCTTCTCCCAATTGTAACTCTTCTTGTCTTTCGATAATGTCTTCTGCCGTATTCGCAAGCAAGAGTGGTACTTTTTTAACCGTATATTTTTCAACAATATATTCATACTGATCGCTTAAATCAGCCATCGGTTCTATATCTCTTATATCTGGTTTTTTTTTCAAACAAGGGAAACACATGATGGCATAATCTTTTTTTATATCGTGTTCTAAACATTGTTCCGTCGCACTATAGGACTCGGTTTTTCTTCGTCGCGAAGCGCACGTCAGTATAATTACTAGTAGAATAACAAAGCTGCTCAAAGGAATATACGTTACGAAGTAATCTTGTTCCTAAAAAAAAAATTTTCATCAAAATTTTCAGCTCGAAAAACGTTGGGAAATTTTTACGACAAAAGTAAAATCCAAAATTTTTCCGGTTGAACGAAACAAAACAAAAAAAAAAAAAAAAAAACAAAAATTACATTTATCTCATGTTTCTTGCTTGTATGTCCTTGGTCCATAAGGAGAACCAAAAAAATGGTTGCAGTAAAATGGTTGATTTTCTTCTAATTACTAAGGAGAGCAGACGATACATGAAATTTACTATATAAAATATTAATTTAGAATAACGAGACAAAATCAAACTTTTGATGTGTTTAACTTATTATTATTGTGTTAAGTTTTACGATAATCGAGCATAAAAAAAAAATTAAAAAAATTTCATTATGCATTCTGCCTTTTTTTTTTTTTTTTTTTTTTTTTTACATAATTGAAATCTTAAATTAACAAAAAAAATTTAAACATTTTAAAATTAAAATAATAATGCAATAATGAGAGAGTAAATAAAAAAGAAAAATAAAGAGAGAGAGAGAGAGAGAGAAAGAATAAGGAAAAGAAAAGTGTGTGAGTGTTTTTGTTTTTGTGTGAAATACACAGAAACATAGAAAGAGGAGGAAAAGGGTTACAAACCTAAACTTTTTGTTTTGTAACAAAAAAAAAAAAAAAAAAAAAATTAAATAATCAAAACAATAAAAAAAAAAATAATAATAATAATAACGGAAAAAAAAATTCATACTAACTTTGAAAAACATAGTAATTCTGATTGCGCCATTAAACTGTAACAAACTGTACGAAAAAAACTATTTTCATAAGGGATGAAATGCATATTTTTAAAATCCAAACATAAATAAATAAAAGTTTTGACTTCCGAAAAAAATGAAATAAATAAATAAAATAAAAAAAAAAAAAATAATAATTAAAAATGTCTAAAAAAAATTTTTTTTTCGATCGCTGCCACCGACATTTCAATTTTTACCAAAAAAAAAAAAAAAAAAAAACGTTTATTTACTCTATGCTTTTTTTTTTTAAACTGAAAAAACGCGTAGTAATAATCAAACTCTATGGTGATTAATTATCTCATCTACGTCATAATTCAATAAATCAATCACTTATATTATTACGTATAATCGTATAATTTGACTCATAACTTTCCCCCCCCCCTCCCCCCAAAATCTTTCAAATCGTCAACGAATTTAATAATCTCCAAAAATTCAATTACAAAAAAAAAAAAATCGAGATTGAAAGAAATCGGAAATTATTTAAAATTAATATGACCGCCGCCATTTTTTTTATTCGCA